TCCATCATTTCAGGCTGGGCCCTGGTGGCACGGCTCCCTGGGCTCCAGCTTCCCCTAGCACAGCTCTGTGCATGAGTCTAGGCGGGAGGAAGGCTCCGGGAGAAATGAGTCCTGAGGAGCTGCCAGTGGGCTTCTGCCCACACCTATGCCAAACAGGACTGGAGTGGCTGTGGTTCCCAGGTGCGACTCTGCATGCTTGGACTGGAAGAATTCTGGGTCTCCTGTCTTTCTGACATTGAATGGAGCCTGAGACCTTCCTTTCCCAGCCACCACAGAGCCCCAGGCGAGGTTCCTGAGGTCCTAATGCTGTTACTGTAGTGCTGACATCCTAACCCTGTTACCAGTTAGGGGCAGGACATCTAAGCCCATGCCGTGGGATTTCAAAAGTATATGTGACCCTACTGAAGAGTGAGCTGGAATGCCCGAGCAGCCATAACAGGGAGATGCCGAGGGACCTCGTGGAGAGCAGCTATAGGGCTGACCGCAGCTGTGTGGGAATGCTGGAGGAACTGAGGGTGCCTCCTCTGTCTCTACTATGATGCTCTAATGGGCCCCCAGCCCCTTCCTGAGTGGACCCAGAATACTGAGAACTACCTGTACCCTCTCCTGGGTCCCTAGGAAGCTCATATTCACCCTTTGTTTTGTTGGGGTCTTTTATAAGTTTGTTTCTGAGACAGAGTTGTGCTTCTTAGCCTGGGTGGTCCCAGACTTATCCCTGACTTTCAGACCTCCAAGCGAGGGGCGATAGTGTGTGTCTCCCATAACCTGCTTCCCATTTGCTCCAACACCAGTCCTGTGGGAGTGAGAGGCTGAGGCTGGGCATGCTCCCTGGGGGTGGGATGTCACAGAATTAGCCTCAGCCAGGCTTTGTTGAAATCTGATGGCCTCCACGAGATGGGTTCATCCCAGTCTGAGAGGCCTCTGCATCTAAGGAAGTGGAGGCCTTAGTGAAGAGGGCCTACCCCTGCCTGCCCCTGCCTGCCCCTGCCTGCCCCTGCCTGCCCCTGCCTGCCCCTGCCTGCCCCTGCCAGGACCTCAGAGGTGAGCCCTGCTGTCACACATACAGACTCTGGTGTCTTCAAAGCCACTAGGTGCAAAGTGTCCAGTGTTCTGAGTTTCTTTAGAGTCTGAGTGCGAAGTTGCCCCGTCCTGGTGAGGGGCCTGCTTCCGCTCTTTTTCCAGGTGGGTTTCTTCTGCTTGGATAGAGCACCTCATTGAGATCCTTCTGGGGGCCCTAAAAGGAAAGTCCTGCCCCAAGCCTGTTGTGTCCTTTGTGCCCAGTCTGTCGCCTGGGAGGTAGGGCCTTGGCATCTTACTGGTTGGCGTAGACTTGACTCCTGACCCTGTCTACCTCCAAGTCAGGGTGGCCTTGAAGTACCACTGGGAGCCTGGGAGGGTTCTGGGGCAAGAAAACCTGTGCTAAAGGAGCCAGGCCAGGCAAAGGAGGGCTCTCTGGCTCTGGGACATTAGTCCTAGTCCCCTGCCAGCCCTGGAAGCCGGAGGGAGCAGGCAGGTGGAGCTCTTGTTCCGCTCTGCACCAGGGCCTCTCTGCGGTCTGCAGCCGTTTGCATTTCCTGAAACCGGATCTTGGTGTCAGAGCCGCCCCTGGGCCGGGGCGGGCGCCTCAGCCATGGCCCTGCGCAAGGAGCTGCTCAAGTCCATCTGGTACGCCTTCACCGCCCTGGACGTGGAGAAGAGCGGCAAGGTCTCCAAGTCCCAGCTCAAGGTGAGGGGCATCCTGGGGGCTTAGGAGAGGCTCACTCGCCACCTCGGTTCCCATCCGCCGGGAGTCAGACAGGGAAGCCTTTGCTACTCGGCGGGCCGGCACCTTGCCACCCAGCAGCCCTGGGTGGAGTGCTGGCCCAGGGGAGGTAACAGAGCCAACCTAGCTCAGTAGTTGCTTCCCAGAGGCTCCCAGGCACGTGTCACCAGTGCTGCTGTCCAGAACCATGTACTCTGACTGGAGAGTAGAGGTGGCACCATGGGCTTCTGAGATTCGGTAACCTGCCCTCTTCTCAGGCTTCTTGTGGACTCCCCAGAGTCATGCTTGGACTCGCACCCTGCTCCTCCCTGTGGCTTCCTCGTGGCTTTGAAGAAAAACAGTTAGTTAGTGTTGCCAGTCACTTCCTTTGGAGCAGAGAGCCTCCTCCATTTGCAGAGCAAGCCGGCAGCCACTGAAACAGTAGTGTGGGCCAGCTAAGGGGTCATGGCCAAAGTCTCCCCTGTGTTGCTACACAGCTCACCGACCAGCTCCACCTACCAGCACAGGCACACAGCAGGTTGGGAAATTTGCCTTATGCCTTGAGACTTGAGGCTGAGAGTTGGGGTAAGCCAGGCCCAGGAAAACCCCATCAGTGACCACCCCTGTCGTCTTAAAACTATACGGTCTGGACAGTTCAGAGGAGACGAAGGAGCTCTCTTCCTGGGTAGGCGTCTTCTTCCTGGGGGAGAAATTAAGGCCTCAGCTGCTCGAGTCCTGGCATGCTGGGGAAAGCGTCAGAGCAACTCAGCTCTCAGACCCTGCCTAGGGATCCACTCATTCTTTGTAAATAATACTCCATCTAGTGGAAACCTGGGAGGCAAACGGACAGCGTGGGCATGTCCCCTCCACCTCGACCCTCGTGTTGTTCAAGCTGGGTCCTGTGAACTCAGGTGCACCACTTAGTTCTGTCCTGGTCTATCCCTTAGCTGGATTTGTGGGCATCTATTGACTAATGGTCTACTTCCCCAGGAAGGAGAGTCCAAAGCCACCTCAGGTCCCCTAGGGAGGCAGGTTAATCCTTCCATCTTGAGTAAATCCAGCTCATATTGTGTGGTTGAGTTCTGCCATGAAAGGAAATTAGACCATCTGAGCAGCACCGATCCTGCCAAAACTATCCCACACCCACCTTCATTGCCCCCCCTCTTTTGAGACAAGGTTTCTCTTTGTCACAGCCCTATCTGTCCTGGAACTCGCTCTGTAGCCTCAGTTTCCATCTCTGCAAGATGGATCTAATCTTTCACAATATTCTGGAGAGCAGTGTGCTGGACTTTCCTTTCTTGTTTGTTTGTTTGTTTAGACAGGGTTTCTTTGTGGTTTTGGAGCCTGTCCTGGAACTAGTTCTTATAGACCAGGCTGACCTCAAACTCAGAGATCCACCTGCCTCTGCTTCCTGAATGCTGGGATTAAAGGCCTGAGCCACCACTTGGCCCACCCTATCTTTTGGGTACCCTGCCACATGACTTCTTGCTCCCAAGATACTGCATGTTCCATCTGTGACCTGTGACCCCTCTCCAGGCTCTCTCTGTGCCTTAGGCACAGAGGTTACAGCCCTTGAGCAGCCCCCATTCTCTGGTGCTCTTGCCAGGAAGCGCTCCCATCTAGAACCCCTCTGTGTTAGCATCTGACTGGCCCCATTCCCGCCCCCAACCTCCATAGGCTGGGTGTTTCTGGGGAAGAGTCTGAGAGTGTGCACGGTTGAACTGTCACAGCTCGAATCGCGCAAGGGACACCGTGAACGTCCCACCTGCATGACAGGAAGCTCGCCCACTCTCAAGCTAACACCGACACTCTTGGGCCGTGTGGAGGTGAGGCAGAAACGGCAGGGTCCCTGCCGAGGAGGAGAGGGCTTCTTCCAGGCCCACAGTGGTAGACGCTGGACCGGGAGGAAGTAGTGATGGTGCTGGAGGTGGGGGCAGAGGCAGAGAAGTAATAGAGAAGTGGTCAGAAGGCAGAGGAAGAAGCCGAGGCAGCAGATACACCAGCGAGGTACACTCTGTCTTCTGTAAACATGGGGATGAAGGAAGGTCCTGGGCTTAGCTGTTCATCCTAGTACGGTTTCTAGCCTCTGTGTCCTCTGAGGGGGCAAGTGGGAGGCTGCACCAGCCCAAGCCTCGCTATGGCTGTGAGTCGCCTCTTCTCCCCCAAAGATGCTCATAGAGGCTATAGAGGGCTGCCTTGTCTAGCCTGGGTACATCCCGCTGAGGCCAGAGGAGGAGGAGGAGGAGGAGGAGGGGCAGAGCAAAGCCCAAGGGACTGGTGTGGCGGCACACACCTATGACCCTAGCACTCAGGGTTGAAGCAGGACACCCTAGAAGGTCTCAAAAAAAAAAAAAAAAGAAGCAAACAAGCCCAAAAGGAGGAGAGTGATTTTGTCTTGTTGTCCCTGAGAACAGAAGGCAGGTGGGGAAGGGAATGACTTCTTCTGTGAATCCTCTCTTATTTATCTGTATATTTAAATCTTATGTCTGTATGTGTGTGGGCCACAGTGCATGTGGAGGTCAGAGGACAACTTGGGGAGCTGGGTCCCCTTCCGCCAGGCATTGAGCTCAGGTTGTCCTGGGGCAAGCTCCTTTATCTCCTGAGCCTTACCATAATATCTTGCCTTAAATCCCAGCACTCAGGGTAGCCCAGGCTGGCCTCAAATTCACAGAAGTCCTTCTGCCTCTGCCTCCTCCCAGTGCTGGTGTATGCTACCATGCCTGGCTGTGCCTTAAAACAATGACATGGAACCCACACAGAGGTCACACCTGTGATCCTGGCACTCTTGCTAAGGCAAGAGGATTGCTGAGAATCTGAGGTCATCCTGGGTTACAATGTGAGTTCCTATCTCAAAAAGCCAAACCAAACAAATAAAAAGGAAAACGAGTCAAAAAAGAGTAGTCTGGCTGGGCAGTGGTGGCGCATGCCTTTAATCCCAGCACTTGGGAGGCAGAGGCAGGTGGATCTCTGTGAGTTCAAGGCCAGCCTGGTCTATAGAGATAGTTCCAGGAAAGGCTCCAAAGCTACACAGAGACACTCTGTCTCAAAAAACAGAGGAGTAGTCTGTGTGGGAGAGACGGCTCCTGCTTTGTGATCTCATTGCCCGCTGCCTTTACGGCTTCTACTGTGTGCACCTCTGACCTCTGTCAGACAGGGTCCCGGGATCTGAAGTCTGGGGGCTACAGAGTCAACCCTTCTGATTTCTCGTGCTCAGTGTAGACAGGATAGCCAACCTCTCCCTGGACCCAGGGTCCCCAGGGAGAAGGGGTCCCCCCCCCACACACACACCAATAGTGGAAACACACAGAATCTTCTAGGCCCAGGCTGCTCACCCGAGTTCAGGGACTGAGGGGTCAGTGGGGATTGTAGATGTCATCGGAGTCCAGATGACAGCGTATGGAAAATACAGACACCTAGACCCCACCCCTGGAAACTCTGAGTCAGTAGGTCAGGGCGGGGCAGGCCTTTCAGTTTCAGCTACTCCAGTGGAGACCCAAAGGGACCTCCGAGCTAGACTTTGGGCAAGACACTTCCTCCCGAGCCTCCATTTCCTAACCTGTGAATGGAGGCTGAGAGTCCCTACTTACCTCGGAGGCTCTGTTCATCACTGCCCCACCCCTGCCACTTCCTCTCCTGCCTGATCCCACCCCTCACCCCACCCCAGGCGTCGGAACGGCTTGCAGTCTGAGGTTAGCGTCTCTGTGTGGAGGACCCTAAGTGTCTAGAACCCTGAGTACCACAGCATCCTGACAACTGACAGCCCAGCCGTGGGCTCTGCAGATTCAGTCACCAAAAGGCACAGATGAGGACCCCAGCTGTGCATGTGGCCGCAGGGGAAGGGAACAGGCCTGGAGATACAGCTCAGCTGAGGGCGCTTGCCTAGTGTGCATGGGGCCCCCGGTTAGGTCTGCAGCACTACCTAAACAGGGAATGTAATCTTGGCACTACGGTGGGAGAAGCAGGAGGATCAGAAGATCAAGGTCATACAGGATGAGTTTAAGGTCAGCCCAGAGTACCTGAGACCCTGTCTCAAAAAAAAAACAAAACAAAATAGGAATGGGCTGGAGAGATGGCTCAGGGGTTGAGAGCACTGGCTGCTCTTGTAGAGGACCCACATGGTGGCTCACAATTCTCTGTAATTCCAGTTCCGTAAACAGGCAAGATGGTGTAACCTGGAATCCCAGCCCCAGGAAACTGAGGTAGAAGGGTTGGAAGGCCAGCCCAGGGTGCAGAATGGGACCCTGTCTCAAATGTTCCTTCCAATTTCTTGTCATAAAGGCAGTCTATGTTCCAGACTTACACAACACACACTGACAGGTTGTTGGGTGAAGGCACCTACTGCCAACCCTGATGGTCCCGGTTTGATTCCCGGCACCCACCTTTGGAAGGAGACTTGACTCCCTGTAAGTTGTTCTCCGCGCTCCACACAGGAGCTGTTAAAATAACAGAGATGTGAAGAACAAGGCGCAGCACTCACCACTGTTATTACCCTGCCCGGTTATTAAGTCTCTCCATGGAAGAGTCTTGTGCCTCCCTGTTTGTGTGTTTCTGGGTGTCACCCATTCCTTAAGGACAAGAACCACTAGGCCAAACCCTTTCCCTAGAGCTCAGCTGGATCCAAGTCGAATGTCTCAGTGACTCCTGAGACCTGTGAGGTGTGCACTCCACACACATGTAAATAAATAAAAAAATGGACCAGGTCCTGCCAGCACACACTTTAACCCCAGCACTCGGGAGGCAGAGGCTCAAGGCCAGTCTGAGCTACAGAGAGAAACCCTGTCTCCAAAATTCTCTCTCTCTCTCTCTCTCTCTCTCTCTCTCTCTCTCTCTCTCTCT